TCCAGCTGTGGGAGAGACAACTCACTCCCAACATCCATCACCTGCCCAGCTCCCCCCGGGCTGCTCCGATCAGCGGGTGGGAAGTGTTTTTCTCACCCATTTTCTCATGCTACAAAAAGTCTAGCGATCGTTTCAAGTACTTTAGATCAAGGACTGATGCCCCAAATTCCATTTGCCACTTTGTAAGCTGCGCCAGGCCATCCAGCTAGGAATTCTCTCATCCTTCCCTGCAGTGACTGGCTCAGCTGGGCAATAACCAGAGGTCACCTGAAGCCTTTTCAACCTATCCATTCCTGCGTGTTACAACTGGATTGTTCCCGTTGGATGCTTCATTCACAGGGAATTTCCAGGGAGCGGGTTGTAAACCCCTAAAAACGAACCAGAAGCCTTACAGGCACCTACAGCACCTGGACTGCCCTCCAGCAGCTGGATTTTTGGATAAACACGGGAACTTTCCTTCTGGAGGCACATAAATAACAAAGCGAGGGGAACAGCGTCCCAGTCGAACTCTGCAGCTCTCCTTGAGCCATTCCCTCCTCCAAAGTCGGGACTAAGAAGGCACAAGGGCAAACTGAGGGCAATAACGCCAATATCGGTACAACTGGGATAAAATAACGCCAACACCCGCAAACACGCCCTTTCCGCACGATTTTAGAGCCCCGGCCCCGCAGCGGCGCCCAGAGCAGCGGGAGCACACCGACAGCGCTCGGAGCAGCCGCTTAGCTCCGCACCGGCCCCGGGAACATCCCGTTCCCGAGGACACCGGAACAGGAGGGGAAGGGGCCCGTGCCGCGCCCACGACCTCTTTCTCCGACGCCTTCTCGCCGACCCCGAGTAGCCCGTAGAGATCCAGTTCCAGCAGGTCCTTATCGACCGCCATCTCCGCGCTCCCCGCTGCCGGTGCCGGTCCCGCTGCCGGTGCCGTTCGTTCCCTTTCCCGGTGCCGTTCCCGGTGCCGCGGCCGGGCCGCGCCGCTCGCTGGGAAACGTAGTCCCCAAGCAAGGCTTCGCCACGCGCAGCCTCCGCATAAGAACTACAATTCCCGTGATGCGCCGCGAGCCCCCGGGAAGGGCGCTCCTGGCGGGCGCTGCGCGCCGCGGGTCACGCCGGGTGTTGTAGTTCTGCAGCTGCCGGAGGAAAACTACAACTCCCGTCGGGCTGTGCGCGAGAGCCAAGGTGTCCTTGGAGCGAGTCATTTTGGGAAAGCCTGTCCGGGAATTGGAGTCCGAACGTGCCCCCCAGCACCGCCGAGCCCCCCGCTGGCCGTGTCCCCAAGTGCACAGGCGCATCCACGCGTTAAATCCCTCCAGGGATGGTGACTCCATCACTCCTCCGGGCAGCTGTGCCAGTGTGGAGTGCTGCGAGCCCAACCACAGCCCGTTCCCAAAGGCATCCTTGCTTTTGTTCCTGAAAAGCATCCATCTCAGCCCAAACAACGACTCCTTGGGAAATCCCTCTTGTCTTCTTATTGACCTAAGATACCTTACCTTTTTCCCCCCAGCTCTGCATAGGAAGCATTAGTCTATCCAGTTATTCCATTACACAGGAGATAGGAGATGGAATTTTTCAGTCTTTACTCAATTATTGCAGCAGGATTTGTGTCCTGCTGGCTGAAGGACTAAGAGCCTTCAGACCATTTATTTTAATCAGCGATAGTAACATCTGAGATCATGAAGAAAACTGGGCAAATGTGAATCCAGCAAAGTGGAAATCTGAGAGAGGTTTTCTAACACAGCAGTGCAACAAAACACAGATTCCTGGTCTGGGTCCATGGAGCTTCACCCAAGACGAGCAGGAGCCTTGGAGGTCATAGAATCATAGAATGGTTTGTGTTCAAAGGACCCTTAAAGCCTGTCCAGTCTCCTGGGCAGGGATACCTCCCACTATCCCAGGTTGCTCCAGCCCTGTCCAACCTGGCCTTGAATACTTCCAGGGATGGGGCAGCCGCAGCTTCTCTTGGAAATCCATGCAGTGCTTCAGCAACCTCATAGGAAAGAATTTCTTCCCAGTATCCCATCTAACCCCACCCTCTGGCAGTGGAAGCAGTTCCCCCTTGTCCTGTCGCTGCAGTTCCCGATGAGTCGCAGCCCTGTGGCCATCGCGGTGCTACCTCAGGGACCTCCCTCTGGGGCTCCATTCTGGAGTCCCCTCCTGTGACACCATCTCACCCTGGAAGGCACAAAGTTTACCTGCTGACATGTGTCCCCAAAGCCAACCACAGCACCTTGGCCCTTCGGGGCTGTCCCTTTGTGACACGGGCATGTGACGGGCCAACCTCACCCACACCACCACAGTGGCCACTGGATGTGGGCCACATGACAAAGGGCCGTGTCCCAGCATTCCATGAAATCAGGATGGGGGCACAGATCTGCAATCAATCCCGTGGTGAGACCAGTGGGCTGCAGGCCCCGTGTGACGACAACGCTGTCGAGGTGCGGGATGGCTCCGAAGGGACAAGGTGCTGTGGGGTTTCTCGGGGGTCAGGTGTCTGCAGAGAACCTTCGTGTCTCTTGCAGGGTGAGATGTCATCGAAGGAGGACTCCCCAGAGCCGGGCACCTCTGCTGCCAGCACCATCCAGGTACCACGGAATGGCAGCGCAGGGAATCCTGCCTGCCCTGCATGTTGGGACATCGACACCGAGTGCTCCAGCTCGTGCCGGCACTGCTTCTGCCTCCTCTGCCTGTGGGACTGGAGCCTCAGTGACGCCACATGCCCGCAGTGCCAGCGACCCACCCGCCACACGTACCCCCAGCACGTGGCCCTGTACCACGAGGTGCAGGACCAGGTGTATGACAGCAAGCGGAGGCGGCTCGGCCTCTCGGAGCAGAGGGCGCGGAGCTGCTCGGGACACAGCGGCAGGGATGGGTCCCTGGAGCGGGGCCGAAGGAGGTCCTCGACGTGGCACCGTGGTGGCCACCAGTGGTCTCGGCACAGCCAGGGCAGCAGCTCCTCGAGAAGGAGGAGGCGTCAGCAGAGAAGGAACTGGGACAACGCGCCTGACGAGGGACGAGCTCCAAGGTCTGAACGGGACAGCCCCGGCTCCTCGTGGGGCAGGCGATCCTGGCGCAGGTCCCACACGCCACGGAGCCAAGGCCAGCAGGAACAGCCACGGGGCCACCGCAGCAGGCAGAGGTGGCGGAGCGGGAACAGGGAGCATTCCCATGGCTGGGACAGGGAATGGAGCAGGTCCCGCAGGCGACGCCGGGACAGCCGGACACCGTCCCAGGGAACAGAGTCCCACAACGACTCCACGAGGCAGAGGCAGTGGAGGAGCAGGAATGCTGATGAGGGACGAGCTCCAAGGCACCAACAGGACATCCCAGACTCCTCAGGGAGGAGCCGGTACCGGGGCAGGACCTGGAGCCCTGCAGGGCACAGGACCCAATAGCCCACCCTCTGTCCTGGCACAGGACAGCCCCGAGTGTCCAGCCAGCCTTCTGTGATCTCCCAGCAGGGAGCCACCAGATCCTCTCTGAACATCCTGTTCTGGGGCTTGACTCCCTCCGAATAAACCAATGTCACTTTAGCCAGCGCTTGCTTTATTTCCCTTTCTGCTTTTTGCTGTCTCAGGAGCCTCCACAGGTATTTTGGTGCCTTGGGTTGCCCTTGTGAGCCCCATCCTTTCCCTCTCTGTGCTCCCTCCAGCCCCATCATGCCCCTCTGTGGATCAAGGAAGGAGCATAGGAGCTCCCCACATCCCCACGGGCTCTTCCCCTCTCCATGCCCCAGATTCTATGGCTGAATTTAATTTTTTTTTTTTTTTGCTTTCCCTCCAGTTTTACCCAGGGAAGCTTTGCTGGGAAAAGCTGGAACCCCTTAGCAATTTTTCAGCGGAGCCACAATGTGGTACAGGAATATTTTCCATACAAAAAGGTGTGGCTGATATCATTCAGTGCTGGAGGTGCCCGAGCCCAGCCCTGGGGCCAAAACTTGCCATTCACTTCCATCTCAGCTGTCACCCAGTCCCTGTCCCTAAATGCCAGCCTTTGGAATGACCCCAATAACCTGCACTGTCCCATTTATCCTTAACTTGGGATATCGGTGTAGTTGATAATCCCCCTAAATGCATATTCAGCTTGTGGGAGAGGGATTTTTCCAATGGATACGTTCTCCGCTGGATGGAAGGAGGCTGATCACACTGCAAGAAATAATTGGGAAAAAAAGCCATAAAATTCAACAAATGGTGAAAAGCAGGAGCTGGAGCTCACAGGGCTCAGTGCTGAGCTCTGGACCTTGTGTTCCAAGGTGGGCAAGGATCCTGGATGTCCCCATCACGCTCTGGTAGAGCCACTCCTTTCCTTGAGCGAATTTATTCTTCTTCCACATCATAAACCTGCTTCAAATAGACCTGGAGTTCACCCATTTTCCCAGATTATCCTCAAATATTGGCTCTTGCTACCGGAGACTCCTGGGAAACACGCTCAGTGTCCGGTGGGAGAAGCAAGGAGCGCTGGGCACAGGAGGGGGCCACGCACAGGAGCAGAACTATCCTGGTAATTTTTCCCTGGATTTACTTTTTTCCATTAAATCCCAAAGTTCCCATTGGGTGTAAGCTGAACAGAGCTGTCCTGTTCAGTTTTCCCTGGATTTACTTTGTTCACCCAATACAAAACTCCCCATCGGGTATAAGCTGCTGTCTGTTTATCTCCTGGAAAACCCACTCCCTGGCCAAGGAAGCCTCTCTGAGCATCTTGCCAGGGATCTGGAAATGCTGGATGTGTCCACCTAAACACACTTACACAAACATTTCACCGGGAAAACCCTGGAAAGATAAAGGTGAGCATTCATTGAGGATGGATGATGGTGGCAGAGCCATACTGCTGCTGTTTTTGGGTAACAGCGAGTAAGAAAACTCAAACAATTTCTCCTGAAATTAAAAAAAAAAAAGACACAAAATAAAGGTTCTTGGAAAAGTGCAAACAGTCTGGAAGTCTCAGGGAAGAGCCTGTGGCCAGCGCTGCTCTCCGAGGTCACTGTCCAGGGGCTGCCCAGCCTGGATTCAGGAGGTCTTTAGAAACACTGGCACCTCGGCCAGGCTGGCAGAGTAATTCCTGAGGATGGTGCCTCCATCAAACACACGGGCAGAGTTGGTGTCCAGCCACAGGTGCCCTTCTCCAGGCAGGAAGACATCCCTCCATGTTTGTCCTTTTTCTGTTATTGGAGCAACCAGGACCTGCAGTGAAAAAACAAACAAAAAAAGAAATAGAAAAGAACTTTAGCAGGTGGTGGATTAGGGATGTACGTGTGGGGATGAGATGGCCACCAGCGAATCATGGAATGGTTTGGCTTGTAAGAGACCTTAAAACCCATCTCATTCCACCCCCTGCCATGGGCAGGGACACCTTCCACTATCCCAGGTTACTCCAAGTCCTGTCCAACCTGGTCTGAAATTCTTTTCCCTTGTTTTTCAATCCAGCATTCTGAGATTATTTATTCCTACTAAATAATTTCACTTCCAAAGCTGAAGGAGGTTTCCAGGGCCCTGAACAAGAGTTTTGTGAGGAAAGCCAAGCTTTTCCAAAAAGGAAAAACCCCAAACCCACATAAACCAGCTGCTTTGCCTTGGATTTAAGTCTGCTGGAATACAAAGCTCTGGTTTGTGGTTCGGCAGAGCTGGGCTCACAGGATGGTGCAGAATTCCCACCTCATCTCCAATGAGAAATTCATCCTCTATGGTGAAGGCGGTTGGATCCGTGGGGCTGAGCCACCAGGCTGGACGGAAGATGGGGTGTCCCAAACTCTGCCACTCCTCGCTGTATTTCAGGAGGAGCGGCACTACAAAGTCCCGGTGCCTCTGGATGCATTGGCGGGTCAGATTCAGGACCTGCAGGGTCAAAAGGAAATCCATGAGGAGCCTGACACCCAGGAAACTGCAAAGCAGGCAGGGAAAAATGAAAATAAATAAATAAATAATAATAATTTTTAAAAAATTAAATATATATATTCCTTTGGGAAGAGAGGTGACTGAATTCCAATGTCCTGATCAAGTTACAGCAGCCAACAAGGTGCAAACAGGGTTGGTATTGGATATTAATTGATTTGGATATAAGTCCATTGATAATAGGTTTACGTCAATTGATAATGGAGATGAATCCATTGGATTTAAATGCTTTAAATCCACAGATAGTGGATGTGAATCCATTTGATTTAAATACATTATCAGTGGATATAAACCCGTCGTATTTAAGTGTATTTAAATCTATTTATAATGCATATTAATTGATTGGATTTTAATGGATTTAAATCTATTGATAATGAATATAAATCCTTGTGATTTGAGTGGATTTAAATCCATTATAATGGATATTAATTAACTGGATTTAAATGGATTTCAACCCCTGGACAGTGGATATAAATCCAGTAGATTTACATGGATTTAAATACACTGACAATGGATATAAATCCATTGGATTTACATGGATTTACATCCCTTAATAATTGATATAAAGTCTTTGGATTTAAATGGCTTTAAATCTATTGATAATTGGTACAAACCCATTGGTTTTAAATCTACTTATAATGGATATGAATCTGTTGCATTTAAATGGATAAAATCCATTGATAATGGATATTAAACCATTGGATTTAAATGGATTTAAATCCATTGGCAATTGGATATAAATCTGTTAATTTAAATGGATTTAAGTGTATTTAAATCCATTGATAATGGAGATTAATGCATCCGATTTATATGCATTTAAATCCACTGATAGTGGACATAAATCCTTTTGATTTAAATCCGTTGGAGTTTCCATGTGAGAGAGGCGGTGTCCTCCCAGTCAGGGTGAGGGATACACACCCAGGAGTCACAGCAGAGCCAGGGTGGGGACCCAAAGGCCATCACGGGCAGGAAGGTCACGATCTGCAGCCACCGCACGAAAAGCTCTGGGTCCCCCGTGGAGTCACCGGCCAGGCTCCCTCCTGTGGGAACACAGGGCTGAGTGGGGTTGCTCAGGGGCCTCCCACGGGAAAAGAAGGCTCTTGAGAACCCTTGGAGCCCCTTCCAGTGCCTAAAGCCCCCCGGGGAGCCGGAGCATCCCTGGGAGCCATCGCTCCGAAATCCTGCCACAGCTTCCCTAGAACTGGCACGAGCCGAGGGCTCTCCCAGCCATCCACAAATGCCCATTTCTTCCAGGGGCTTTTCCCAGCTTTTGCAGCTCTCGGGATGTTGGGACACAACCCAACAGGCCACGTGCCCCAGCAGCAAATGCCCCAACCCTCTCCATGCAGGGGGACCTGTGCTCCCATCCTGCTTCCCTGGAATAAGCCAATGGGTTCAGCTTCCATCGGGGTGGGAACTGCCGTGCTGGGATTGCCTGAGCCACATTTCCTAAGGAAAACAGGCTAAAAATAGAGGCCAAATTGAAAAATTGCTTCCAACCCCTATTTGAGGGCCATCATTTAGCTCCATTCTCCAGGTCTGAAACCCTGTCTGCTCCAAGAAAAGGGGCAGCAATCCGCTTGGCCCTGATTAGAGGTTGTTTCTTGCCTTTTATAACATGTTTATTTAAGGATTTCTCCAGCCATTGTGCTTTGGGGGCAGAAAGGCAAACTTGGAGCAGATCTGCTTGAGTTTTAGGAACATCCATTCCCCAGCCAGGAGCCTGGGGATGTGGATCCTGGCTAAGGGCTCCCTCCTGGCTGTACGGGCTGGGATTTAGCCCAAGCCAAGCCCTGTGGGGGTGGGTTGTGGTGGAGCTCTGCAAAGGGTATCCCCAGAGACCCGGCTGCTGATGGGGCTGCCTGGTAATATTTACAGCATGTTCTTTTGTTTTTAATTCCTCAGTTGATTCCCTGGTAACATTCATCCCACTCAAGCCAGCAGAACAGAAAACTGGGGAGCAGAGTTCTCCAAGCTTTCCCATAGCACACCTCAGGTGCAAAAGTACCTCTTGCCTGGAAAAACGCCCCAAAAATCACTGTGGAAAAGGCAGAAACAGGGAAAAAAAACAAACAAATCCTTACCTACTGTGTCAGGGATGAAGAAGTTGTAGCCCAAGAGGCTGTAGTGCAGCACGGAGGGGATCAGTCCCTTCAGCCCCGCGTGGCTCCAGTCGGAGCGCAGGGGGCTCATCTGGACAAACAGAGGGAGGTGACTGGAGCTGGGGAGGCAAAACAAACCCTTAGAGGTGCTTAGAGGGCTCACAGGAGCCAAAATTCCATGATGCCTGGTTGGCTTGGCAGTCACTGGGGTCAGATATAGGATCCTGGAATGGTTTGGCTTGGAAGGGACATTAAAGCCCACCCAGTCCCATCCCCTGCCATGGGCAGGGACACCTTTTACTATCCCAGGTTGCTCCAAGCCTCATCCAACTTGGCCTTGGACGCTTCCAGGGATGGGGCAGCCACAGCTTCTCTGGGTAACCTGTGCCAGGGCCTCCCCACCCTCAGATCATCAACTCCACCACGCTGCCCTAGACCACCTCCATGCCACTTCCCTGGGTGCTGAGCACGCCTGGCACCCCAAGGACATCCCCTTAACCATCCCCCAGGAACTCACACACCCCTTGGCTCCAGCAGAGCATGTCCCTGGTACCCACCTGGCCCCGGCGCTGATGATGGTGCCATTGCCCAGCGTCGCCAGTGCTGCCGCCAACACCCTGGTGTATCCATCACCTGCCAGCTCGGTGGGAGGTGGGACACCCTGCTCCAGGAAGGAATTACCCTCAACTCCCTCAAAGATGACATATGTGGCCCCCAGGGCCTGCCGCAGGTGCCGGGCACGTGTCAGGTACCAGGCCAGCGCTGCCTCGCTGGTGACGTTCAGGCGGGCACAGAGCTGCCCCTTCCAGGTGGTCAGCAGCGGGATCTGCGGATGAGGGTGGAAGCCCCTGTTAGATCCATAAAATATCCTGCTAATTCCAGGGTATGAGGCTGGGGAGTGACACTCTGCCCCCTGCACTGCGGTGCAGCGCATGAAGGTGTAAACCCTCCCTCAAACCCGCCCACCAAAAACCGCTGAGTGGGTGGCAAAGTGGATGATCATTAAACTGACCAGACAAAAAAAAAGAAAAAAAAGAAAAAAAAAGGAGTTGAGGGATTTTCTGAACACTGGCATCTTTTTAAAATATCTTCTGGAAGTGGGGATTTCCAAGCTGCTTCCCTGGGAACCAGGAGAGAAGCTGCTCCCTGCACATTGGGCTGTTCCCCTCGAAAAAAATAAACCCGAGGGGGTTTATCCAGTGCCAATTTGGGGTTTAGGGTTGAGGGGGGTCCCGTACCAAGCTGCCCCCAGGTCGGGGCTGGCGGCTCAGCCAGTATCCCGTGGCCTCGCCCTGGTGCAGGGATTGCAGGAAGAGCGGGGAGGTGATGCTGGCGTAGGGGGACAGAGTGATGGAGAGCTGCAGAGGCTCCACCAGGGCCAGGTCCTGCCTCTTCCTGCGCTCCGAGGGCACACGCTCCTGTGGGAGGGAAAGGCAGGAAAGAAGGGGTGTTAGATCGGAGCGGCAATGCCGAGCTCTCCGTGAGCGCCGAGGGCGGGGGTACGGCCGTACCGCTGCGGCGAGGATGGCGGTGCCGCGCTCGCCCAGGGCCACGACCCCTTCCTGAAGGCCGTGCCGCTTCAACCTCCTCACCAGCGACCTCAGACCTCGCTTGATTTTGGCGGCAGAACCCTCCGGGCCGTGGTACCGCCACAGCGGAGACCTGCGGGGTGGGAAAAGCCAGGTGCGAGGGGGTCACGCTTTGGGCCGGAATGAGATGCTCCGGGCAGCGACTGGGAGCCTTGGGGGGATCCCCATCTCCGGGAGGAGGGAACACCCACCCCAGGAGCGCCGTGTCCGGCCGTGTCCGTGCCGGCCCCGCCGGGGGGTTGCCCGTGTGCCGGTGTGCGGACGCCACGTCGGTGCTGATGCAGAGGAGGTACTGCAGGGGCTCCGCCCGGCCCGCCGGCGTCTCCAGGCAGAAGTGCCGGTGGCTCTCCAGCGACAGGAGCAGGGGCACGTCGGGCGCCACGGTCACCGTCACTCCTTTGCGGGAGGAAAGTGGGAAACGGTGTTTTGGTTGCTCCCAGTCCTGGTGTCTGAGCGCTGCCAGGACCTCCCCGATTGATCCCACCACAGATCCAGCCGTGCCGACCGTCCCCATCCTGTTCCCGCTATTCCCTTGTGGCCTCCAAAATGCCTTTCAAGGGCTAGATTTTTCCCCTTCCTGCCTTTTTGCTCAGCGTGCAGTGGTTCAGGGCAGCTGCAGGTCATTGAATAAATTTTGGGGGAATTCCTGAGGTTTGGTGTTTTGCAGAATAATCCCAATATCCACCCAAAAATGACAACAGGCAGCTGAACTCCTGCCTGAATCCAGCATCCCACAGCAGCATCAGGGAGCTGTGAAGCCACTTGAGCAGAGCCAGAGGAAGCAGCAATGGGCACAGATTTAGGCAAAAAATCCCAGAAACATAAACAGTACAGGATGTCCCGGAGGCGACTTGGATCACACCATCCTCAGGCACTCAGGTTCAATATCACAGCCTTTCCCTTTCACAGGGATGAGGTGGTGTGGGATCCATCCCCTGTGTCCTGCTGCCAGTTGTCATTACTTTTGTAGATTTCTCAGAGGCATCTGTGCTGCTCTTAAACCAGTTGCTTTAGAGGCGAGGAGGAGGATGGGGAAGCACAGGGACTGAAGCCAAAGGAGAGCAGACAGGAAAGGATGTGATTACCTGTCGAGCCCAGGAAGTACCTGTCCAGGACAGGCCCGAATCCGTCGGGATTCATACCGAGGTCTCCGCTGACGAAAGGCTGCGTGGGGCTCTCGGCACCGTTGAGGGGCCAGCGCTGGGCACGGATGCTTGGCCCACCATACCAGGAGACATTGGCCATGGAAAAGCAATCCTGCAACCAGGAGAGCATCGTTAAAGAGCTAGGAATGCTCAGGGTGAGGAGAAAGGTCAGGTTGGATGGGGCTGGGAGCAAACTGTGCTAGTGGAAAGTGTCCCTGCCTATGGCAGGGGTTTTGGAGCAGGGTGAGCTTTAAAATCACTTTCAGAAGCCCAGCTGGGAAATCTGTTTGGGTTTCTTGGTTTGTTTAGTTGTTTTTTTCTTTCTTTGGTGCTTTCTCTTTGTTTGCTTTACTTTTCAGTTTGTTTTACTTTTAAAGGCATTAACCTTTCTATCCACTTTTCCCAGAGTTTCTGGCGTGAATTTACAACTGCAACTGTCTTCACCTGAGGGAGGTTTTATCTCTCACCTCAATGGCACCACAGCATCCCTGGAGGGACACGTGCTTTCTCCCAAGGCACAGCTTTCCAAGGGCTGATAATAAGAATTTCCCCTCAGTTTGGGGATTTGTGACACTTCTCATAGGGCTAACAGGACCCTGTGCCCGGGGACATCCCCATCCTTGACCCACCTCCTGCCAGAAACCATCAATTTTCATTTCAAAGCCTCTAAAACTTTCTCCTTTCTGCCAAGCTGAGGGATCAGCAGGACTTAAGAGTCCGCGTGACTTCCCAGGCAGGACGGGTTTCCCCAAAATCCCGAGGATTTGGGGCCGTGGAGGGAGGCTGGGGCAGGCAGAGGAGACCTGAAGAATCCCAACTCAGCCCCTCCAGGTTTATTCCCAATCCCAAGGCTTCGGAACCTCCTGGAGCCCTGAGCTCGGGGCACAGAGAGGTTAAGTCTCTCCAAGGGGTGGGGAGAGGAGATGTAAATTATTAAAGTGGAAACCCTGGAGGCTCAGAATAGCTGTACCAGGTGTCAGCTGAACTCTTTACACCAGCTGGAAAAGAGGGAAAAACAGCCAGTTCTTAACTCAGATTCCGCTGGATCATATTTTCCACTGGTTTGGGTTTTTTTAAAAAAGTGGGGAAAAGCCTCTCCTGTCCTGCTCATCCTCTCAAACACCCCGCACCGATGCCAGCAGAGGAGACCCAGCCCCATACGCAGGGCCTGTGCTCAGGCAGCACCTTCCACCCACCCAAAATAGTGCCAACAGGTGATTTATGGCTAAAGGGGAACAATTCCTCCATCCCACAGGACCCCATCCTGCTCCTCTCCCTGTCCTGGGGGCTCCCCACAACTGGACACCTCCCTCTGACAGGCTTTCTCCTTCCCCTCCTAATGCTCCTTTTCAGAGCCTGCTTTTATTTAACCGAGGGACCAAATGGGGAGTGATACCAAAAATAAAGCCCCCAAGTGTGTGCAGCAGCGGACGTGGGTTATTCCCATCCCGTGGGAGCTGCCCATTGTGTCTGCGCTGGAATGGACCTTCCCGAGGTTCTCGCCAGCATTGTCTCCAGCGGTTATTTACTCTGTCTCCATATAAACACAGTTCTCCCACCCCAGGGTCACCAGCACAGCACCACCAGGGCTCCCCTGGGGTTTTGGGGGGCTCGGCATCAGGTCATGATGCTTCTAAAAGGCTTTTCCCACCCCATTGCTGGAGGCTGTGGGAGACGGGGTGCTCCATGGGAGCTGGGGAGTTGTGCCAGGCCAGACCCTCCCCGCTTTGGCTCGCTGGGCCCCAAATGATGCCGGGCTGGGCACGGGGGTCCCCGTTACCTTCAGCGTCACGTCGGGGCGCAGGGGGGTCCAGTGGACGCTGTAGCACTCGGTGCCGGGGACCACCGGGGGCTCCAGGGAGAGCCGGAGCTCGGCGTCCTCCTCCCAGGAGTAGCAGAACTGGCGACCGTCGTGCCAGCAGTGGTCCCGGGGTGGCGGGGGCTCGGCGGCCGGCACACCGCCCACCGCGATCGCCGCCACCGCCCGCCCCGCCGGCAGCGCCCGCAGCACCAGGGCCCCGCGCCGGCGCTCCCACAGCATCCCACCGTCCCGGCCACGCAGCACCCACTCCTCCGGAGACTGCTCCAGAGCCTGCCAGGAGATGATGCCGATGGTCATGGCGAAGAAGACGGCCACGCCGAGGCAGCCGACAGCGCCTTTCCAGGGCTCTGTCATCTCCCTGAAGCTCAAGGTCCAGTTGGACTCTGGGAGTTGGCCGGTGTGGCGGGAGAGGGGCATGGTGATGCTCCGCTTCTCACCCCTCCTGCAGCAGCACAAGAAAGAAAAGCCTCTGGGATTGCTCCAAAAGATTCTCTGGGACCGCTCCAAAAGCACGTACGAAAAGTTAATTCAATAGGAAAAGCGGTTTAAAAGAAGGAAAGCTGCACTCTCTGCACTGATCTGAAGGTAAGAGGAGTCCCTTCCACAGCCTCCTCCACAGCAAATCCCACTGCTGGGCTCGGTGATGGCGGCTCAGCCCCCAAACCCTGTCCTGGAGCCAGCTCAGCCCCTTGGCACGGCTGACAGCACCCACACAGTGACACTGAGGAGGACACGCATGGCCCAGAGCCCGGGAGGGAGATGAGACCATGGCTGATGGGAAGCAGGGCTGTTCTCCAGCCTCTGCTGATCCCTGGGGTTTGGCATCAAGTCACTGCTCCGTTTGGAAGGAGCAGTAAATAGCCAGGGGTGCAGGAAAATACCACAGGATGGTTAGAGAAAGGAGCTGGGGGGAATGCAACATCCTCTTTCCATCTCCTTTCTCTCTTCCCTGGAAAAGTATTTGGATACTGCACAGAGCAAAAAACACCCACGGGCAAGGTCCATGTGCTGGGTGAGCCCAAGGGAACGGGCACCTGGTGCTCCCCCAAGTAAGGGGTCACCTGTGGTGACAGTCTCATGGGGTGGCACTGGTTGTTCGTGCACCTTAGGGTGCCCCTCCCTCCCGCTGCCCGATGGCAAGTTGGGAATGGTGCCATCTCCTCTGGCACAGCACACCCTCCCCACGACCCCCCCCCACCCCCTCCCCACCTTTCTTTACCTAAAGGCAGGTTCAGGGGTGCTGTTGCCCTCCCTGGAGTCTCCTCGATGTTTTTCCCGCTGCTTTTCCCGCTGGCAGCAGGTTTTCCTCCCGTTCCCCGGGGCAGTTTTCCCTCCTGGCTGCGTCCTGTCCGAGAGCCGTCGAGCCGAGGCAACTTGATCCAGCCTAACCCAAGAGCGTTACTTAAGACCAGCTCCCTCCCTCCTACCCGCTCCCCTGCAGCTTGCATGTAGCCACAGGTGGCTGCATCAGAGACAGGGCCAGGAAATTAAAAATAATAAGTTTTAAAAGCTTTTCTTTATAGGGGAATAATTTTAAAGGATTTTTTTTGCCAAGTTTTTGAGGTGGCTCTGGTTGAGCCTTTACCACGCACCTGTGAATCCATATGTGGGAAGCCCTGGCAGCACTGGGAACTGCTTGTCCTGTTGCTTTGGATTTTGTGGTTGTTACTGTTATATTTTGGGGGATTTTATCCCTGTTTTTTTACCTCACACGAGCCACTGGACTCCCCTCAGATCATCTCCAAGGCTGCCAAAATGGGAGCTCTGCAGGTAAGGGTGCTGCCTGCATCCGAAAGCAGAGGGAAGCAATTTCCCAGGAGACCTGCAATCCCCTCCAGTGCAAAAAACTGGAAATCTGGGATTTCCATCCATTTTCCATGCCCCAGTCCCCATTCACACTTATCCCACCCTGACTACAGGTGATCAGGGAAGACCTGGATTTTCCAAGCAATATTACAACCTGTTGGCTGCCAAGATATAAAAAAAATTGAGATTTAAAAGCATTTCCCATCGTGCATCCGGGCCAAACCCCGACAATCCCAATCCCTGAACCCCAAGTCCAAAGCTCTGCTCACATCTGATGTTGCTCTTTGGGAGAATCCCAGGACAGCCAAATCCACCAGGAAAATTCTCATCCGTGGCTCAAATAATGCCCTGGAGGGCCTTTCCCCGTCAGGATCAATTTTTCGTTCCAGCTGGGGCATTATCCAGTATGGGATGGAGGGAAAATGCGTGGATCCTACTGGGACAAGCATCTCCCAGGGCCTCCAGAGCAGGAGAGAAGGATGGGTCCAGGATAAGGAGAAAGGAAGAGGCAGGCTGCCCTAAAAATTTGGGTGTGAGCTGTGAGACAGTGATGTCCATCCCAAAGGAGCTGGGAATCCCCTGGGAACACGGATCAGGAGAGATTATAGCAAAGGTGTAGGAGATAGAGCAGGGCTGGGTGCGAAGCACTAAATGGGGAGATCACAGATCCAGTGGGACCCTAAAACTGGTTAAAATAAAGGGGAAAACATTCAAAAAAGAAGAAGGAAAGGGTGTTCCTTCCACTTGGGAAATTACAGGTACTCAGGGTGCTCAACACACCCCACAACCTGGAAAAAGGGAATAAGTAGAAGTGAATAAACCCTATGGTCATTCAGAGCTGTTCACCCACAGCGTCAGATGGAGCTGATGGAATTACCAGTGTGGGATTTGCCACCGTTTTCTGAGGCTTTATAGATCCATATGCCCCAGGCAGGGATCGGTTTGGCTGCAAAACCTGCAGAAAGGGGCAGAGGAGAGATCTTTGGGATGATCCGGAGTCCTGGTGTGCTGGAAAGCATTAATCCTCTGTGCAGGGGAAAGAAGGAGATGCAGCAGCAGCCTCCGAAAGCTGCACAGGGATCTGCAATTCCCTGTTTCCCACCTCAAAACAGGCTGGGGGTGGGGGAGGAGGGGACGACTAATGGTGTTGTTTGGCTGTAGCAGCTCAAGGCAAAGCTCTGTCACATGGCCCCCGATTAAATCACATCCATGGGATGGCAGAGGGGCCCCCAAGGTGGGATTAGAGAAAGCCCAGGATGGCATGGTTGGTGGTGCAGATGCAGCGGGATAAGGGGGGGGGGGGGGGCGTGGAGTGGCCAAACCCAGGTGGGATCTCAGGAAACAGGGGGATTTCTTAAAAAGCTTTTCTTAAAAAGCATCTCAAATCCCGGGGAAAAAAATCCTGCTGGAGGTTTCAACAGAGTATCTGGCCAAATTTGGGCGCCCCCCAGCATCGCACATGGGCAGGGTTTGGGCTGAGCCCTCTTCCCTCCCAGAACTCCTGTGTTTTGGAAGGAGGAACAATTTTAGGAGTTTTCCTGCCCGTCACAAATCGCAGCACGAGGTGGCTCCCTCGAGCAGCAGGGAGCCTCCCTTCGTCTTCCTCACACCGCCAAGGAAAACCACTTTGCCTTGACCTGTTACAGGAAAAAAATCCCTCATTTTGGGGTGGCTCCCTGGATTCCAGGAAAGTGTCCTGCCCCCCTGCTTCCAGTAGGTGGGGTTTTGTTACACATTCTTAGGTCTCCTCCTGTGCAAAGTGGAGCATCTTTCCCCCTTCCTGACTTTGCAGGGCTGAGAGGACCTTAAGGTTCCCTTTTCCCTTTTAATATCTGGCTTTCCAAGCTCCAAGGATGCTGAGGGGCTCTGGGCAACCTGGGTAGTGGAAGGTGTCCCTGCCCGTGGCAGGGGGTTGGAACTGGATGAGCTTTAAGGTCCATTCCAAACCAAACCATTCCAGGATTCTGGGATTTGCCAGACCTCGAGGCTCCCTAAACTATGGGGGATGTGGCACCTGTGGCTGTTGGTCCCCAGGGAAGGATGGAGTGGGAGGCTTGGAAACACATTTAACCCATGAGCACCAATAAGCAGAGTTCGGGAATCCAAACTGTTCGGTGAAACACCCAGAAAAGAGGCACTGAGGGTTATTCCCACTGGGATTTAGGATCAGTGGCCCCTAAGAGGAGCTTCCTTCAGCGTGTACACTGCGGATCACACACCACATCCTTAAAGAGTACTGCTGGAAAAAGAGAGAGCATGGAGAGCCACAGGGATTTTCCATATGTGTGGGGCTGCACTTGGGAAGGACCAGCCCTTTCCATCAATATTTTTCTACAACCTTGAAGCACCAGCAATTACAGCCACAGCCTCCCAGCAGCACGGCCAGACCCTCCAGGGGAGGTTGGTTTGGGGTTTCTTAAATATTAACGTTTTAAAAAAAATAAATAAAGGAAAGCTGTGTGGGTTGGCCAAGAGCAAAGGAAAACTGGTGGGAGCAGCAAAGCCCTCCAGGATTTGGTGTCTCTCCTTGATTTTCCCCTGTCTGGAGCAGCCTTACCCCAAACTCTCCCTGGGGGGATGGATCCTACGGTGCCAAAAACCCTCTACCCCAAACCCCCACTTTTTGTCCATTTTTCCATGATATCCACAAGCTAGGAGACACAGTGGTGAGACAGGGTGGATTACCTGAAGCTGGAAGCATGGATGTACATGGATATACTGTTCTCCTGCTCACAAGGTTTATCCAATGGGAGAAGATGCCTTCGGAATCCATCCCGGGAATAAACCAGCCGATGTGCTGTGGTGGGTGTCCTCCATTGCTTTTCCTTCCTGTTGCAGTTCCCAGCTTTTCCTTTCAGGGCCAGCAAAAGCCTTTGGCTGTGCTGGAATTCTCTGTGCCTTAGGAAGCCTTGCACTCCTTATTCCAGCTGGGATATTTATCACTTAAAAAAAAAAAAATAAAAGAAGCACAAAGGGTGATGCGGCTCCTAAACACCCAAATCTCATCCCATATTTCCATGAACTCCACAGCTATTTATAAAGCAATAAATGAGCAGCAGGACTTGGAATGACAATGGGTTTTACCAACAGGAACACCCTTGGAAGTGACTACAGGACTATTGTCCCTTTCCATCGCTATCATATCTCCCAAACCAGCAGCACTGGGTACAGGGGGCTTTTTGTGTCCATCCACAGCCTATCCGTGCTTTCAGGGAAAGTCCCCCATGGAGCAGCAGATTTTGGGGAGGGGGTGGGCTGGGGGACAGCCTGGAGCACCCACAGTGGCCCATGGATGGATAATTTTCAAGCTGGAAAGTCACGATCTCCAGCTGCCAACTCCAGTTGGTGCTGATGGGATAGGAACAACCCCCCTGTATCCCTTGTCCCCTCTTCCTTCAGGCAAAGCCGGATATTTTGGGGATACCCAAGGTGGTGAGAAGGAGGCAGGGACCAAACCCATGTTCCTAATGCACCATAGTCCCTAAAATTGCTACAGTGGGGAGAGAGGAGCCCGCTGTGCCAAGGAAAACCCCTCCATGGGGCACTCGCCCCCCTCGAGCTCCCAGATTCAACCCAGGCACCTTAAATCCAGGGATTATTGCAGCACGCAGACACCCTCAGTGTTCCTGCTCTGAGCTCAGATCCCTCAGAGTGGGGTGGAGGTGCTGATTTGGGGTGTCCAAAGTCAGCACCTTCTTGGGAGGGGTCACTGGCAGCTCCACTCTGGCCATAACCCCTGGAATGGGGCTGGGGCTGGGGCTGTGGCGAGGCCAGATTCATGTGCTGCTCCCCTGGGAAAAGCCTTCAAAAAGCCCAAATCATCAATTTTTTACTTGAAACAAGGCACAACTGCTGATAAAAGTCGTGACTACCAGGAGAGAGCAGCTGAACCCTACAGCCTCGGCCCATGATTTTGGTCTCCCAAAATCCCTTGGTTTTCCAGCAAACCCTTTGGCAGAGGGGATAAGGGGAGAATAATGGGGAGGCTTGGTGTGCCAAGGGAGCTGCTGGAGGTGACCACAGGCGAGGGAGCTCTTGGAAAGGACCTTTCTGTTTCATCTGCCTCTCCCCAGCTTCCCAGAAATCTGCCGAGCAGATTCGCAGCCCACGTGCTGCCAAATCCAATTGCGGCCCTGGAGATACCGTTTGGATGATGAGATCAAAATCCTTCCTGTGGAGCTGAGCCACCACAGGCTGGAAAGGTGCAGGACAACCTCCTCGACACCCATGTGTCCCCAGAGGAATGACACTTCCCAGCTACACACAGGAACAGCCCCCCAGGGGCTCACTGCGGGATACCTCGGCTCCATCCACCCCTCTTCCCTTGGGGGGTCATTAGCAGCCCCAAGCCTGGTGCTCCCTAAGGACAGTTGTGGTTCTTTTGGCAGAGCTCCAAGGCACACCAGACCTCCAGCCCTCGCTCCTGGCTTCCATCCAAGCAATGCCCTTGGATGCAGTTTTAGTGGCACGGCCCGGCTCGGCAGGGAGGGCGCTGCAGGTCACGAAGCTGCAAGGGAGCTCTGGGCTCCTCCTCTCCAGGGAACTGGCTTGGACTTACCTCTGCAGGCTCTGCTCTGGGGAAGGACAAACCTTCCTCTTCCTCCTCTTCTTGGTCTTTTTTTCTTCCTCTGCTTTGTCTTCTTCTTACTTCCCTTCTTTTTCTTCTTCCTCCTCCTCCTTCCTTGCCCAACTCCTGCACACCCCACACCCCAGCGATTTAGGATTTATGGGATTACCCCAGTGCTGCCCTCCAGGATCCACACATAGTGAACCCCCCAAACTTCTCCCCACCCCTCATGGATGCTGCATCCTCAAGATTTATACCTGGGAGGGGAATCTCCCCCCAGAGAGCCAATGAGGGGCTTCCAGTAATTAGTAATTCCCAGCCCTCACGAGCTCCCCCGGCCTCTCCCAGAGCAGAGCCCGGGAATAATGAGGTTTTGTGCTAATTATAGTGAGCAGGCAGGGCCAGGAGTCCTGGTGAGGGGCTGCAGCAGCCACCACAGGGAGCTTTTGGCTGGAGACCTTTCTGGATTCCCTGGGATATAAAACACACCCGGGTTAACCCAGGACAGCAATCGCAGCCCTGCCCAGAGCTCCTCCATTCCCAGGAATGCTGGGGATGCTGTTCCAGCACTGGCCCTGCTTTCTGCTTACGAGCTGGTCCTTTTTCATCCATCACCTGGAATAATTCCTGCTGAATATTGCAGGATTCTGCCATACCTGGCATTGCACTGACCTGGAGATAGAGCCAGAAAGGGAAATCCAGCCCTTTGGACAAACCCTGGGGATATTTGGGAACTGAGCAACATGGATGAGGCACCCAAAGCCTGTGCAATGACAGACTTGAGCATGTGTCCAGCATCCCAACAGGGTTTAATCCCTCTTAAATTCTTCTCTCCCCCTCCCAGCAGCAGGATCAGCATTTCCCAAATCCAGCTCCTCTCCAACCAGGGCAGCAACACCCACCCCAGCTGCTGGATCACAAACCTCAGCCCAGCTCCCACCATTCAGCTCCCTAGGGAATGCTATAAGCCCCCTAAAATTAAACAAAAACCCCCAAACCTTGTCCAGCTCTTCCCCCTACACAGAGCCCTGAATGAACTTTAATTCCCTAGATTAAATGTCAATCAATAAAAATTGGGATTTTAATGAAGGTGCTGGGAAGGAACAGCCCCAAATTACTGTCCTGTCCTGGCCCCCTGATGGGGCTCCTTTTTCCCCCAAAGTATATAGACAAAGGTGGGATTTAATGAACACCTTGGACAGACACAAGCAGTGCCAGGAAACACTTTTGGAAGCTGCAGGCTGTCCAAGTGGGTTCCATAGCAGGATGTGGGATAAGTGGTTTCCCAGGCTGTGATGCTCCAGGGAAGCTCTCCCAGGCAGACATCCAGTCATTCCCAGCCCTAGAAATGGAGGGACCCAGGACAGTGCGGGGTGCTGGGGCAGGGGTAGAGGGTAAGGGAGATGCCCAGCCCTAATTTAAGGTGATCCCACAACACGCACCCTTTTGCTTCTGCTCCCTTAGAGGAACCCAGCACCCTAAAAATAACCCACGGGAGCACCACAGGCGCTCGGGAACTCAGCTTTTATTGTCACGGGACACAGCAACAGATGATGGGGTCAGTCACAACAAGGGGAGGGTCACACCACAAGGTCCTAGCACAGCCACCCTGAACAGCCACAGAGCCCCCAGCACTAGAAGGGAGGAAGGGAGGGAGGGAAAGGTGAGATGTGACCTGGCTCCTTCCCATATGTTTCCTGCCCCATCCCTGTGCAAACAGAAAAAATTCTCAGCCCATGGTGATTCTCCTTTCGGGAATGGGGAAATTAATGAGCAGGCACAGAGGCCCCTGCAAGCAGCAGCATTTGTACCTCCTGGAATTGGCTCCGTTGTGTCCTTGCAGCTGAGTGGCAGGGCATCAACGGGAGAAGCTGCCCCTGGGAATGCTGTTCTTCTGGGATGGAGAAGGGGGATCTGAGCCTATGGGCTCAGTGTTTCTCCGAAATCTGGGCAGTTCAATTTGCCTGCCCTGGGGATGGGCTGCCCCAGCCAGGTGGAGATGTCAGACATGAAACCTTGGAAAGCAGGGAGCAGGTGGTGGATTCAGCAGGGATGGAGCATCTGCTGCCCTTCTTCCAGGGTTTATTTACAGTCTCACTAGAGGAGAGAGAGCCAAGGGGCCTGAAATGTTAAAAAATGGCTTTTTGGAAAAGCCAGGGATTAACAGGCTTTCCCCCCGCTGTAAACAGATCCCTGTTTGCTGTAACGTGCCCTGGGTTCCAGCTGTGTGCAGCTGGTCGGGACAGGGGCTCCTGCAGCCCCTCCACAACCGCTTCAGTTCACAGATCCAGAGGAAAACTGGGAATGGAAGTTCGGCCCTGGGCTCTGACAGGGGCTGGAGATGGGCAAACCAGCTGGCCTGGTTCTTTGGGGGTACAGCAGTGGAGGCAGAGAGAGACACAGCTCCCTGTCACCTTCTTCCACACAGTGAGAGGGTCTGGGGGCACTTAGGGGATGGTGTGGGCAGGGATCACCCCCAGAGCAGCTGGATGGGCTGGAAGGGTTTGACAATCCAGGGGGTTTTACTCACCAGCCACTGTGGGCAGCAGAGGCAGCAGGGTCCATCCCCAGGGCAGGGACAGCCGGTGGCATTCCAGGAGCCAGCGCAGCCATCAGGGCCACCCATTGTGGGGGCTGGATTTGGGGCACAGCCAGACACAACCAGCTTAGGGGAGTAAGGAAAGCCCCCCTGGATGTACATGTGCTGGGTCTGAGCCCTGTCAAAACACAGCTGAGCCCCTAAAGGTTGGCCCAACGTCCCTGAAGTCACCATGGGCCAAGATGCTGCTGATTGCAGCCATGCAGGAGGAGGAAAAGGGAACAAAGGGGTCATGGGGATGGAGAACATCTTCCCTGCTGGCACAAAGGCTGTTTGTAAGAACCTATGGGCTCTTGTATCCCAATCCCACCCTCCCCACTCTCCACCTTCCCCTTTGAGGAGCCGGCACAGCCCCACCAGCCGCCCCCAGCCCTGGGGCTGGAGCAGCAGGACGAGCCGTTCTGCCTTCCTGGAACCAGGACACTCACTCAGGGATGTAGTCCCTGAAGGAGTTAAAGCTGAGGCTCCGGCCCACAGAGTTCAGGGTGGAGCTGGCCTGCATCTTGGGAATCTTCTCCATCAGCTTGGACACTGTCCTCCTCTTGAAGGAGCCCGGGGAGAAGTGCCCCTGCCTCAGCAGCTCCTGGTAGAGGCTGCTGAACACGGCCACCGGCTCCTCGTAGCTGTCCCGCGTGGAGATCTCAAAGAAAGGAAGCTTCAGGGTTTTGGAGAGGTTCTCACCATCCTCTGTGGAGACCATCCTGTCAAACTGCAGGTCCTTCTTGTTGCCCACGATGACGACGGGGGGCTGCTCAGCACCGCCGCTGCGCTTGGGGCTGGAGTGGAGGTGGTTGATGAGGAAGCAGAGCCGCATCACCTCGTCGAAGCTGCACCGGTCGGTCACCGAGTACACCACGGCAAAGCCATCGCCCCACTTGATCTTCTCCTCGATCTGCAGTGAGTCCTCCTCCTACCAGGGCAGACAGGCTCCCATTAATGCTTCTGGAATTCCAGCACTGCTAGCTGCAACCCGGAAAACCTCCCAGGGGAGCAGCACCGTCTCCAGGAAGGTTCTGGCTGTGGGTTTGCAGAGAGCAGTGACCTGCAGGGACATGGTGGTTTGGGTGGCGTGGCAGATGGGGTCAGCCATCAGCCCTGTCCTTGCATGGGTAAGGGGGGAATCACTGCTCCCGTGAGCCAGCAGGATGCTCCACCAGCAGGGCTGTGCCATGCACCAGTAACGGGAATGTGGAGACATTTACCTGCAGCCACACTGTATCTGACATCAGAGAGACATCAATTCACCAAAACATCCTTTTTCTGAGACAAACACCACAAGGGATATTCCAGACACCACGGATGAAGGCCAATGGGAAAGCAGGGATTGCCTTCAATGGCAGGCCGCTCTGCTCCAGTGGTGTTTTCCCGGGCTCTGAACAGCCTGAGCTCACCTGTCCTGCCGTGTCGAGGATCTCAAAGTGCACCATCTCCCCGTCAATGACAGCCACGTGCCTGTAGATCATTTCTGGGGTGGGGACAGACAGGAAAGGTGTGTGAGAGAACCCCTGGGGACCAGTCACAGCCCAGGTGGCTTTGATAAAGCCATGCTGGAAAAGTGGATTTTCACCTGCTGCATCCCACAGCCTCGTGGCCTCTGTTGCAAGGCCACATCCTGAAGCAGCCCATCTCCCTGTGCCCAGGAAGGGCAGCCCTGTGCTGTGGCATCAGGCCCAGCATCCCCCATGGCACCAGAGACCCCAGGACATCTGGGGCAGCCGTGACCAAAGCGTGGGAGCAACATGGGGTCATGGAGCAGCAGAGGGAAAACAGATAATAATAACAACAACAGAAAGGGAAAAAGGGATCCAGGAACCAGGGAGAGGCCAGGATGGCTGGGGGCTCTGCCCACTGCCGGTCTGGACAAGAAGGAACAGGAGGGAATGTGGTGAGTTCGGGACAGTCAGCTCTGTGACAGCACCAAGGAAAAAGTGTTACCCTACCTAGAGTTGGATCGTAATCTCCAATGAATCTCCTGGTGATGAATCGTACGGTCAATGCTGGAAAAAAACACAACAAACCCTGTTATGGTTGTCAGATCAAACTGCAGGGAAACATCAGCTGCCTGAGGCAGGAGGGATGGAGGATGGATCTATGGGACGGGTGAAGCAGGGATGTGCAGGAGGGACAGAGCAGGAACCTGCAGAATGGATGGAGCAGGGAGCTGTGGGAAGGGTCCCATGAATTTCAGCCCAGTCTGTTTAACCTGACCCAGACACAGGGTGTGGAGAAGGGAAGGCTGCTGGTACCAAATTTCATGGAATTCACCAAAAGGCCAAAGTGGGAGGAACACAGGGCACAGCAAACCAGGATCTCCTCCCTAAGCCAGCCATGCCTTGCAAGAAAGCAGCACTGGAAGTGCCACCAGGAACTGGGAGAGCAGCTGAGCCCGGAGAATCAGCCCATTCTGGGTCCTCACATCCCCTCCCTGCTATGCCTGAGCCTGGGAATTCACACCCCTAGGACGCTGGGCACAACTGGGGACCAGTTTCATCCTTGCAAGGCCCCCAGTAGCCCAGCCCCTTCTCATGCTGCCACAGCACCAACACAGGGATCTGCTCCTTTGGAACAATTTTTCCTCCTTGCAAGGGCAAGGAGCAGCAGGAGCAGCCAGAGTTCGGGCAGTTAAACTCCCTCATCCAATTACAGGTTTCCCTGTGCCAGAGCCAAGCCAGACAATTCCCAAATTGCTGGCAGGGTGAGGGTTGCTGGTGCTGTAGCCTTGCCCAGCCACTCCATCAACACAGCAAGGGCTCTCTCCTTGCTGCCTCTCATCAATCCCAGCCAGCCAGGCTTAGGGATCCAGACCTTGGCTCCAGAGCAGGGCTGGGAGGTGGGCAAGCTCAGTGGCGACTGCAGAAAACCCCTGCACAGCCTCCTCAGGTTTTCCTGTGAGAGGCAGGAAAAGCTTTGCCACGGTGCAGCCTCCAGACAGGAATTTCCAGCGATGAGGAGAGTGGCACCGATGCCTGGCGGGGGGGGGGGGCAAATTTGTGGTTGGGAAGCTGAAGAGAGTTCAGCAGCACAGGTGGAAGTGGTTCTTGAGCCCTTCAAGGTGTTAATGATGGTAATGGAGATGGGAGTGAAAGGCAGTGGAGAGCTTGAGAGCTGGCTTGGAAAGGCAACAGGAGTGGAGAGGGAAATTAGAGGAAAATGAGCAGGAACAGGGGAAAAAAACCCGGCGAGAGCAAGACAGGAGTGTGGATCCAGGAGGGAGAGGATGGAGAAGCTGCACACCAGGTGCCAGTGCAGCAGGAGGAAGGGAATAGAGCAGAAGTGTGATGGGAGAATAAACCTCAGCAGAACCAGGATGTGACGAAAACCCCTCCAGAAACACAAAGGGGGGTTGTAAATCCAACACCAAGCCAGTGTGACACTCCAAACTCACCTTCCCTCTGCAACCCAGGGTCTGTTTGTCCCATCTGCCCATCAGCAGAAGTTCCCAGTGTCCTGCCCTTACAGACCCACACCAGACCAGCCAAGATCTGGGAATGTGGCATCCCACCTAAGTCAGGCTTCCTGCTCCATCAGCCTCAACAGCTTCTCCTGCCTCTCACAACCTGCTCGGCTCCTGTTTGGGGGATTCACCATCCCCTCACTCCCCAGTCCGCCTGTGGGTTTAAACCTGCCCAGCAGGGAAGGGATCTGATGGAAAAACAGGTAATTTAGCCAAACTGCTCAGAGGAGATAACCAGGGATCCCCGCAGGAGGCACCTATCGGCACCTTTAAAGAGGCGATGGAATTATCAGGGGGAGGGGGACGAGCCAGGCTCAGTCTCTAGAAAGCACCTGATTGTGTGTCATATGTCAGGCAGCCACCCAAAGCTGGAGCACATGCTGTGGGATAAGAAGAGGAGCCAATTAGATTGATTAAAAATTGGCTGGAGCGCAGGAACAGGAGCGGAGCTGCCAGTGGGGGAAGCGGCCGCAGGCCGTGGCCACCCAGCCTTATAAGGAGGTTTCTTTCCCCATCCTGAACATCAGTAACCTTGGGAAGGGCTCTCTGAGGAGAGCTCCAGAGCCGAAGGGGTTAATTGTGTATAAAATTTGGGCTCCAGGGACGGCTGTGGGCTCGAGGGGTGATTTACCTGCCACAGGGAGGACTGGGCGCCTCATGATTGCACTGAGTGCGTGCCCACGCGCTGCCCTGCTTATGCTGCTGTAGAACGGGGTCCAGCACCGATCCATCTTCTGTCCACGTGCTGCAGCAGAGCTCTGCTCTGGATTATGGCAAAGTTTACGCTGGGCAGCAGCAGCAGAGGATAACACAAGCCCTGGCCAGGCTGGATTTCCAGCTCCTGAGGGTGAGTCGCACGGCCCAGATCCTTAAAGTGCTGCACCCAAACCCCGTTCCTACTCGGAGGGTCCGTGACCTCCGATCACCACACCCTGAAGGTTTCCAAACTGCTCCAAAAACCCCCACAAACCCTTTCTGAGAATTAAGGAGATTTTTTCCCTTTTGCAGCCACCCAGATGTGAATTGCCCTCTGGTTGTTCCCACCCCTCGGCTCTCCCAGCATGGTTCTGGGTCCTGCAGGGTGGATCCAGCAGCTTGTCCTGGTGATGCTCCAGGGTGGGGCCCACTCACATCCTGCCAGGACAGGAGCTTAGCAGCTCACAGATGGATCCAGATGATGTCCACCTTCATCCTCTACTGCTTCATCCCAAACAGGGAATCCCCACCACACACAGCACCCCTGTCTCCTGGCCAGGGGAGACTCACTCCCCACCTTAGGCACCAGTCCCCTGTCCTGCCCAGCCCCACAGGAGCTCCAGCAATGATGATGATGCTCCTGGCTCCTTCCTCACCTTTCCCACACTCAGGGCACAAGCTCTCAGTCCACCACCTGGGGTGTCACCTGCGCTGCCAGGCAGGGACACCATGGAGCAGTCTCCTTGTCCCCAGCTCAGGGATGGGCAGCAGGACCCAGCAGCTCGGGCTTCCCCCAGGGAAGGTGACAACCCTGCACCCAAGGGACACAGATAGGGACAGATGTGTGTCAGGGGGGCTGCTAGCCTGTGGGGGATCTCGTGCCTGCCATTCCTGGGGGCTGCTCCCTGTTCCTGGCATGCTCCTCTGCACGAGCCACGTATCAGTTACCTCCCTGCACCCTGATTCCATGGCTTCTGTCACCGTCACACGGGCAAAAGCCCCAATGCTGGAGGACACGAGTGTTGATGGCACCAACGGGAGCCACGGCTGAGCCCAACTGGAGGAACCCTTAAAGACCCTCAGCACATTCCCACCCTAAGGAGGAGGCACGACAGCCCCTCAACTGCCTGCAGGAAGGGCCCAAAGCTCCCAGGAATCTGCTCTGTGCCGGGTGGGATTGACACCAGCAGGGAGACACGTGTTCAGGCCAGGATGGGGGTGAGCCAAAGGCTCTGTACGTGCTGTACAGCTCCATCTGCTCTGTCGAGGCCAAATACTGCCCTGGTGCTCTGGGTACGGCAGAGCTGAGCCCCATCCTGTGCTTCCCTGCTGCTCATGGAGAGCTGGGAGCTGTCTCCTTTAATTCAATCAGGGAATTATGATTTTTTCACTAATGCCAGTTGTTGTACATGGAAAAGCAACTCCAGTAGCTGCAACAGCCACTGCTGCTGTGGCACCTGCACAGGTGACGCCTTTTCCAAAGGGGCAGGACATTCCCTTTCCCCAAGGACATGGCAGCTTGGCTGTGTCCTACAGGCTCCCCAGGCTCTGCACAGATCATGGATCATTGCAATAAACCAACGTGGATCCACATGGATACACATCCTCTCCTGCCTCTGACCCCCTCCTGGCATTCTGGGTGCTGCAGAGGACACCTTGGCCCCCAAACACTCACAGCCCGGGACTGAGGAGTGGGAAGGGGGAAAAGATGATCCCCAGGAAGGAACAAACAGGGTGAAGGAAGGAGCTGAGATTCTCCCGGCAGAGCATCCCGAACCCCCACCCCGACGGGTGCAGAGGGAGAGCGCCGAGCGAGGCGCAGGCGAAGAGTTTTCCTGAAGGAAAACAGCCTGGAGCTGTGCAAGAGGCTCCGCGAGCCCGCTGCGGGCGCTGGGAATGAGCAGCGAATTCCCAACACCCACGGAAATCCAAACCCGAGCCCAGCTTTTGGGAAAGCTCTCCCGGTCAGCGATGTGCCCCCCGGACCCCTGAGCAGCCGGGGACCCCTTGGGAACGGGAAACATCCCAGTGGGACGAGTCCCGGCTGCAAAGTGTCCACGCTGGGAACTCGAGGGGAAGGAAACTCGGTGCCTTTACACGCCGTGGGCTGGGGGACACCGGGGTGATGTTCCCCATCCCGGCTTTCTAAGGGACACGGGAGGGTCGGTCCCTCTGCCCGGGAAGAAGCCAGAGGGGAGATACCGGGGTGGGGGGTGCCTGGGGGTGCCAGAGGGGTACCGGCGAATGCTGGAGGCACGCGGGGCATGCCAGAGGGGTACCGGAGGGATGCGGAGGATGCCAGAGAGGTGCTGGGGGGTTACCGGGAGATGCCAGGGGGATACCGGAAGGATGAGGGGGAAGCCCCGTCCTACCTGTCTTGCCCACGGCGCTCTGCCCCAGCACGACGAGGCGCAGGGTGCGGGCCGGGCTGAGGCTGACGGAGCGGCGCAGGGGCCGCGGGAAGCTCATCCCGGCGTCGGGCCGGGGCTGCCCCGGGCTCCGTCGTCGTCCCCGGCGCTGCTCCCCCGGCTCCGCCCCGGGGGACGGGCTGGGCTCAGCCCCGGGCGGGCGCGGCCGATGCCGCCCTCCTACTCCTCGTTCTCCTCCTACCTCTTCCTACCCCGTCCAGGAGGCTCTTCGGCAGTCGTACCTCAGTTTCCCCGCACGCAGCAGCCCCGGACGCTTCGCAGCCGACCGAGAGAGCTGCTCACCCCAGCTTGGACGGGGCTTGGAGCGACCTGGGCCAGGGAAAGGTGTTCCTGTGCACGGCAGGGGGTGGAACTATGTGGGCTTCGAGGTCCCTCCCAACCCAAATGATCCTGTGATTCCATGAATCTGTAAAAGTGAGGAAAGAACAGTGGTGCAACAACTCCCCAGCCAGAGAACCATGGCCAGGGTGCTGCCTGTCCCCAAATCCCCGCCTGAAATCATTTCCTCCACGTCTATGCATAAGACAAATTAATAAAGATGAGAGAAGGTGGGTCAGCCTCAGCCTTTCCCCTCATCTCCCCTTCCCCTCAACCACAAGCAGGGAAAGGAGCGAATCCTGTCTCCAACACAAACCACCGACTAAATCACCATGGACAGGGATGTGTGTTGGCTGTCCTGAGAAAAAGGGAAAAGCCTGGCATCACCTCAGCTGTCTCCATCAGACCCCAGGATGCTGCTGGCCTGTGGGGTGCAGATCCCAGGTGACACCAGTGCTGCAAATGCCAGCAGAAGGGACCTGGCCAAGAGTGTGGAGCCCTCAAATGCCCACAGCAGGGACTCAGCCCCTTTTCCAAAGGCTGCAGCCATTTCTCCGGCACAGGGATCTCTGTCTGCCCATCTCGGGTGACTTGGCACTGGTGCTCGAGGGAACATGAACCCACCTGGTATTTATAGCCCGTATCAGGCGTCCAGAGGGAACACAAAGGGAACGCTGCCGGTGCCTATGGAGATGTCAGCACTCACCCAGCCCCAGAGGGTTACCAGCAGGATTGGTGCTGGAGAGGGGCCCTGGATAACACAGGAGCTGCTGTGAGGAGCCTGGAGAGAGAGCAGACCTCACCCAAAAACCCACCTTGCCATCACGTGCATCTCCCTGTGCATCAGCTGCTGGCAAACGGCCCTGCTCCAGCTTCTCCAGAGACTCGTGGCTACATCTGGGGCCCAGAAAACACCAGCAAGGCAATAAACCTCGGATTTTGGGACAAAAGCTGATTCCCAGCTGGGGAACAGCAGGGTGTCAAGAAAAAGAAGTCTCCGTTATGATCCTTCCCTATTTTTAGCCCCATTTCCTACGGAAATGAGATGTCTGCAATCAAGTCCTCTTCTTGCCTGATCCTCTGCAACACCACTTTTAATACATCGCCTGATTTCAGGCAAATGAAGGATAAGCCACAGAGAAAATCCTTTTCCTGCAAGTTGTGTGACAAAAAAAAAAAAAAAAAAAAAAAAGGCCAAATTTCACAGAAAAGCAACCCTTGAGTCTTTTGGAAGGCAGGGACTGGCCAGCAGGTCCCTGGCTGGGGGAATCCACAGTAACAATTCCTGCTGCTCCAAGGGATGCTGCCCTCATGCTGGAAACCAGGCAGCCACATCTCTACCTGCCTCAATTCCAAGTGCATTAATAGGGCATAGATTTGCAGGGACGACGGAAAAAACACACAAGAAGCACGGAGTTAAAATGGAAGCCACCTTGGGAAAATCACTTCACCTCCCCTTACACCACCCCCAGGACCAGGCTGGGTTGGATCTCCATGACCCTCCAATCCAATGCCAGCTGCTCCAGAAAAATATATCCCTGGATTCTTTAGCAAAAGGTTGGCATGGGGAGTGGGGGTTGTGTCCCTGACAGCACATCTGGGGACTACCCAGAGAAACTCCTACTCCTCACACACGGACCTCCTTGGCACTGTGGGAGCCACATGTGTGTTCCCACAGGAACACTCAGCGCCGCGTCCCACGTTTGCCAGGGAATATTTGGCCGGGTGACAGTGGAAACAGGACTTTATCATCTGCCATCACTGAGTAAGCCACCTGTGGCAGAGCCAGGTGGGAGAGGTGCAGGGGATATTGTTTTCTGCTGAAATATTTGTGGTCGGGCCATTCCACACTTGCTGTTTTTTTAAAGACATGGAGTCTGCTCTGGGAAAGAGGCCAGGGGCTCCCATGAATCACGGCCCTGTGAACAAAAAATCAGCTGAAACGAAAAGTTGGAATAAAGCAAAGAACCAAATCTCCTCAGGCTGCAGTCTCAGATCAGGGGGATCCTGTTCCGTACTCCAAACCACTTCCCTACTAGATCATCAGCTATTTGAAAGCTGCCAAAAAAATTGAATTTTATTGCTCCTGAAAGAGAGCAATGGTGTGTTTTTATTTAGGAAAGGGAAATAAAGTAACAGCAGTCCCTTTTCTCTCCATTAGATGATCCAAAGGCACAGGATGCCAGTAAGTCCATGCAGGAGCCAAATCTAGTTCAAAAATGACCAAGGTATATCAAAGTTATCTCATAAGGTTTAGCTCCTCTCCTGAGCCTCCATTTCGAGGGCTCAAACCTGTTTCCCGCTCATCCATCACATTTAATTGTCGCTCACCAATGACTGCCCAGACATTCCCGCGTGCGGCTCGGCTGCCAGGAGAGTTAATGCCAGATGGAGCCATCACAGAATGCTCCCCAGGGATGTAACCAAAGCCATGCTGCCCTGTCAATAAACATATTTTGGGCTGTTACAGCAAAACCAGCAGCCCCAAGGGTCCTCCCAGCCCTCAGGCCCTCACCTTCCTCACGCCCTCTGTGGACTCACTCTGTTCCTTCCAAACCCTGGCCCCGCTGCAGCCATGAAACCACGTTCACATCCAGGACGAGGCACAGGAGCAGGGACACAGATCCCAGTTGCTTCTCCACATGCTATAAATAGCAAGAGGGAAAACAGATGAAAGGCCCTGAGCCCCAGCACTGCCCAGGCGCTCCAGCTGCAGCCAGACTTCTCCGTGCAGGATTTGCATCAGCCCAGACCCGCTGGGGAAGCATTCCCTTTATTTTACTAATAAAAGGCTGGTTTTTAGGCCACAGGAGACGATAAAACCTCTAGCACAAGAAAAATCCAACCAGCACGGGTTCCTGGTGTCCCATTCTGTCTGTCACTGAAGCGGGTTCTGAAGCGCGTCCGGATCACACTGAGAAAATAAATCTGGCTCCACGTCAGAGTTCAAAGACGCCTTCACAAAGCTGTCAGGGAGAAAAAAAAAAACACATGGAAGGGACACATTAACAGCATTCTCCCCCTGCCCCAGGGCCTGAACAACATGTCCCGAGAGCTTTCCAAGCTGCTTCGCCACTGGATAAACTCCGGCAGCTCACGGGGCTGGCAGAGCGCGCGATCCACACATCCTAACGGGGCTGCTGAAATCCCTTTGCTGCCCTGTGGGTACCCCAGAGAGTGCCCTGTGCTTTGTTTTTCCACAGGAGCTGCCTGTTGGGAAGGAGGGCACTGCCACAGCCCACGCCTGCCATGCTCCATCAGGCTCCTCACCGCAGCGAGTTTCCCACCACGGGAATGGCTTTGCCTGGGAAGCTGGCTTTAGGACAAAGAGCAATGTGCTGAGGGGAGGGAGAGGAAACCCCTCGTGGAGGTAATTTAAACCTCCAGAAACCCTGCAGAAAGTGATCCTGTGGGATGACCAGGAGGGGCTGTGCCCCCTTCAATCACGAGGATGATTTCATTGCCAGGATGTGAAACCCAAGTCCGAGCCCCTCGAAGGTGCAACATCTGAAGCACTGGAGGGGTTTGGAACAGGATCAGCCTTTGAAATGATGGAAACCTCGCTCTGAAGCAGCTGGACCTGAGGGGGAGGGAAAAACCTGCAGCCACAAAAGAATTCAGGTGCCACAGGCCACTCCTGAAAGGGTAGAGGAGGAAGTCAGGGCTGGGCTCAGCGATCCCTCCACGGCACGCAGGGAATTAGGGATTCAAACACCTCCCTTGGCTCCTCCAGAGAGGGGAGGGCAGGAGGGACTCTGAGAGGACACACACCTGGGATCCACGGAGCAGCAGGGCCAGGGATCCACTCAGCTGCACACAGGCATTCCTGCCCAAAACGGGGGGATGCCAGAGCGACATAGGCAAGAGCAGAGCAGCAATGGCACCTCCTGAGTAATTTCCAACAGCTATTCCCAAGCAAACCTTGCGGCTGGCAAGAAAACAACGCTTCCTTAGTATGGGAAATGTCAGAGCTGCACAGCCAGTTGTCGTGCTGCCGTGGAGCCCTGCTGGAATTCTTGGAAAGCACGAGAGGAGCAGCACAGGCAGTGGCTTTGTGGCCAGCGGGCAGGGATCCGGGCTGGAACTCGCTCAGATTCCCAGCAGATGCCCTCTGCTCCGGCTCTCCAGCCTCCTTCCAGGGGGGACAGACGCCACAGGGGTGGCCAGAGCCCAGGCCTGGTTCTTGTCTGACCCACGTGGATCTTACTCTGGGCAAAGTATCTCAACTTCCACCCGGATCCAACGTGATGTTCCATCCTAACAGATAAACTTCCACCATGAATCAGTACAAAGCTGCTTTGGTGAGAAATTCCTCTTCTTAACCTATGTATGTGCTATTTAGCACCGGGAAGAGGGTCACAAGGATCATTCCCCAACACATGAAGCCACATGGAGACCTGTGACTTCTCCATGGAAAACCAGGGATCTCTGCTTCCACCTGGAATTGCAAAAACTTTTTTTTTTTTTTAAATTCCCCTGAAGCAAATGTTAAAATAATCCCCCTTTCCCTCAGTCTTAATGAGTAATTCCAATAAAAAATGAATACTTTGCTCTAATTTCATATCATAAAGTTTTCAAACAAAAAACTTTCTGATAGTGGTTGATTTTCCCTTTTCCCTTCCTGCATTTTTCTCCCCTAAAATGCTGTGAAACCACCCTAATTTTGTATAGTATCTCACCTGGATCAGAATTACATTCCCAAGAGCTTTTTTAGGGGATCAGCTTTTACAGAACTTAAGCCACTTGCTTTTCTTTTGACTCCACACAGGCCTCTTCCCTCCATATTTCCAAGCCCTGAATCTCTTGTTACTTCCAAGTGTTCCTTTCTATCTGGGAAGGACAGAACATTCCTGCTACATCCCCTCAAAGCCAAGACATGCTGTTTCTTAGCCCCAGCACCTAAACACAGAGGGACTGAGGGTTTCCAGTCCAATTCCTTCAGCTGCTTCCGCTGGGGATCAGGAACAGCCTGTAATCTGGAGGGAGGCCCCTCGTGCCAGCCCACAACACCCTCTGCCTGCTGCTGGGATCTGTGTGGAACTGGAGTCACCTGTGGGAGAAAGGGAGAGGTGGGAGATGATTTCGGGGGGGGTCTCCCCACCCCTTCATTTTTAAGCGCTTGGGAAAAAGGATGAGATGATCCGAGCCGTCCATCAGCTGTTTAAAAGTGGGTGTCCAACCTCAGCAGCAGGGAAGGAACAGCGTTCCCAAGGGCTATCCGTGCCAGAGGATCCCAAACAGGAAGGGATGAGTCAGCCTCTGCAGATTCAGCTCAAGCCAGGCCCACCTGGATCCTTCTCTGGCTCAAGTCAGGCAGGTGAGAAGCAAACTGGCATCTCAAGTGATCGCCTAAAGGAATGGTTAGATTGGACACCCAGGACAAGCCCCAGATGGATCCAAACCTCCACTTCCCTCAGCACAGGGTTCTGGCAACCTCGGTCCCAGGAGGAGCCACCATGGCAGGGCACAAGGACACCCAAACTTGGATTTCCTCCCCCTGTGAAGCAAGATATTCCCTAGGGAAGTGACAAGGTGAGCAGGGCCCGCTATCCCTTCCCCGTGGTGACCGTAGGGAACCCTACAGCTACCCCCAGGAGCCTGTTGAGAACTCCATGAAAATCCTTCTGGTTGATATCCAGCCCAGAAACACCTACAGATTTTGGCTAGATAAACCTGGCCTTGAACGTGCTGCTCAGAAAGGGACAGTGCTCAACATGGAGGCAAGGAAAATACCAGGATCTAGGCACTGGAATACACTCAGTAGGTCAAACCCCAGCTCTGAGATAGGCGTAAACCCCTCCTGAGTGACCTGTGTCTTATTTGAAGTGTTATACACAGACAGGGCAGTGCTGCTCACCTTCAAGAGGGCAGTTTTCCAGCTCCATTTCCCACTGCTAATCCTTAAGAGGGATTTTCACCACTTGGCACGATCTGGGGGTAGATTTGGGACCCTGCAGTCACCTTGTTTCACAGCTCTTTTCAGTCCTGTGGGCCATGCTGTACCCCAGGGCGTTCCCTGAAGTCACACAATGCCAGGCATTACATGACCAGAGCTTTCTAAAAGCCTGAATTCCTAAAGCTCACAGAGAGGTGTGGAGGCAAAGGGACCCATCAGGCATGCAGAGGCCGGGCAGCCAGCCATGGATGCCAGGGGTTTAAAACTCCTGGCAAATAAACACCATCGAGGCTGAAATGACAGTTTGAAAAATATTTCATTTTTTTAAAAAAGGCAGCACAGAGAAGTTTCCATTTCCCACTACAGCAGCAAGTCCAGAACTTTCCAGTGCTGAGGCAGTTTTATTTCCACGACTGCCTGGAGCAATAATTGATTCCCAACCACACCCCCCACCCATCAATCAGGACAAACACGGGTAGATTTCAATGGTGTTGATCCGGAGGACGGTCTGGGGGTTCGTAATGACTGAAAAAGAAGGAAAAGAGGGGGAAAAAAAAGGATCAGGATCAGGTGACAGGAAAAACCCACCTGGTCCCAGGGCTCACGTGGGACTGGGGCAGCCCAGTCAAGCTTTACCATCCATTCCACAGAAAAACAGCTGTAATTTTCCCCCCCTCTCAGGGAAGGGAGAGTCATTTGGCACCCAAAACCTGCCACGGGACCCTGTTCAGGCTCGTCAGTACCCGTGACAGCACATCCCATGTTTCAGGCTTTGGGAAGGGAACAGGATGGCTTTCCAGCTCAGGAAGTTTATTGCCAGCAAGGTGAGGGAACACAGGCAATATTAAATCCTGGTGCTCTGTGGGCACGCTGGAGGCAGTGGGCTGGGCCCTGAGGGGCTCTGGGGACACAGAGAACAACCTTGCTCAGACTCTTGTGACATAATACCCCTCCCTCCCACACCCAGCACCGACCAGCAGGGAAGGAAATGTGTTCTTTCCCTCTTACTTCTCTTCCTCTGATAGTTGTGCCTCTTCCTGAAGCGCATGTGGATTTTGGGCCACGACTCTGTCTTCTCAATCACTGTGGCCTCCACACGGACCAGGTCTTTCCTTAAAAATGAGTTAAACAGAAAAAAAAAAAAAAAAAAAAAAAGGATACTTTTAATCTTCTTCTATTGGGGAGCAGCTTTCTGGGAAAAGAGACACACAGGGATAACACATCCTGCCTGACAGAGCCAGATCCTGCCTCCACAGCCCAGATCCACGGAAATTACAGAGTCACCAGGGGAGGACAAAGGCAAAGCCAAAAGCCTCCAGGTGCTGTACCTGGATCAGGTGACTGTGACAGTTCACAGAACACAACTTGCCAGTCATGTGAGGGATGAGTTCACTCCACCTGAGGGGGCAGGAGTGAGAAGAACCTGCAGGAACTTGTGGGATTGTAGCAAGATAAACTCCCCCAGCACCTTCAGGTGATCTCATGTGTCCTGCTTTGTTTTTTGGGACAGGTTCATCTCCACCCACAGCCCCTTCTCCTGGTCAACAAAAAAATCCTTCCTCCTCATCTCCTGGTCACCACACAAGTCCTTCCTCCTTCTCCAAAGCATCACAGACAGCTGGAAAAAAGTCTCACCTCGCTCACCTGAGCAAGTCATGGCAAACATTCAGTGCTCTGGGATTCATCCCACTGTTTCTGGCAGGAACAATAGCCAATGGCTGCTGGAGCAATTCCCTTCTCTTCCCCCACACCTTTTGTGCCTCCCACTCCTGGTCTGTCCTATTTGTTTACCCCAGTTTGGAAGAGCAGATGGGGACTCACTGAGGATTCCAGGTCTTGCTGTGGGGGAGCTCGGGTGAGATCCCTCAAAGGCTCAAATTACTGCTGGACCCCACTTGTCCACAGGGCAATTCCCAGCCAGCACACACTCTTCCTCCCTCTGCACAGAGATGAAGGGAATATAGCCTTTGCTGCCTTCACAGGGGAGCAAAACCGGAGTAATTCACCCCTCCATGTCACCTTATGGACACATACCAACACCTCCTGCCCACCCAGGGGTCTGCAGAGCTCAGAGAGGAGAAACCCACCTCCCCCCCCAAAAAAAAGAGTTCTGGGCTATCCAGCTGCTCTCTGAAAAACTCCAGACCTGGAAAACAAGGTGATGGAGGCAGGACCAGCTCCCTGTCTGCACAGCTCCTCCTCTCTGGGTAGGTGAGGATCTCCAAAAAAGAGCCAGACTGGAGCCCTGGCCAGGGGGGTTTAGTCAGAGCTGCAGGGGAGGAGGAGCAGTCACTCTTCCATGCACAGTACTGCAGAATGCC